TTAATTTTTTTACGTTAATAATTATTACGATATTAATCTAATCTAAGTCAATTTTAAGATTACTCTATAATACATCGGTAGTAGGAAATTGATATTTTAAAACTTTTTACCAAATTAGTAATTGCACTTTTTATTTAAAGAAAATTACTGTACTCCTATGGGAACCGAAATAATTTTTGTTTTAAGAAAAATATTGAGACACTTCTACCTAATTCGCACAAGCCCTCTTTTCCTTTCTTCTTAAAATTCAGTCACTTATCGTCACAAATCGTCGGCATTATTTCATCTCCCCATTATCACAATAAGTGCGACCGCAACTCGCATCTTTTGCCTTCCACTAGTTATGTCAGGAAGTGAGGTACAACCTCACTTAATTTCATGCGCCATTTTCATTTGCGCCGTCGCCAAACACGGCAACAAATGGTCCTAATGTAAAGCAATCGGCAATGTCTTGCCGGAAAGATCTTGCTCAGATCTTTTTGACAATATATTGCCATTCCTTGCTCTTGCTAGTGTAAAGATGGCCGCAAGAAGCGCAAACAAATTGCTGAAAGAATTGCGGAAGCGTATTGCTAATGTAAGGCTAGCCTCACAGAAAGGAGAAAGTAACTTGCAATAATAACACAGTGCGACGCTGAACAAAAATATGTGATTTTGTTGTTCAGTACCCTGATGACAGTGGTGAAAACCGTTCTTCGTTATCACCTAAACATTCTTCTGGAAACGCAATTGTATCTGCGCTTAGTGGTCTGCTCTTTATGTTGCCCCGCTTATCACATTCTTTTATTTTAGGAATATTACTGTCTAATGGTCGGAGTAGAGAGAGGAGAGGGTCATTTGGGATAGGTATAGTAAAGGTGCAGTTGCGTCTGTCAATCGATAGCGAGATCGCACAGTATGTATTATTGAAGTTGCTATATCCGTTTACGTGAAAAATAGTGTTTGTAGGCGGTCGCATGTGTCTTATACTCAGCGATGTTTAGGAAGCGTGTTAAGTCACGAAATCTATTTTGTTATGTATGCGGCGAATTTATTTCTTCGAACGTCAAAAAGGCTTACATTTTGGCATAAGGCTTATATTTTGTTTCAGAAGTAGATGAGGGTGAGCGTTGGGTACGACAGAACCGTCGCTCACGTTGCTCTCGCTATTTAAGAGGCCGCTTGCATAGAACCACCCGTCTATTCCATTTGCCATACCACAGTTGTAGAGGGAACCTAGACACCATATCAGAGTGCTTATTTTGTTTAACGAAAGTAAGAGAAATTTCAAGTAAATGAAAACACGCGGTTTCTTATTCAAATTTGGAATCTGCAATGCGCCCAGTTCCGCATTCTGATTCTCTGTCTGTTCCAAAACCATCAACGGAATGGACACTGGAAAGATGAAACAGACGATGGTAGTGACAAACTAACAGATCACGAAGATCTTGAGTTCACGCCATCTACAGGACGGCCTCGGCCATTATCGCCTGCAGAATTGAAAGATCTTGTAAGAGATCTAAATCTTGAAAAAGACTAGCATAATTACTTGGGTCTCGTGTTCAAGAAAATAACCAGTTACAACCAAACACTATGTATTGTTTTGACATATTGTAATGCATTGTAATAACATAAATGGTCTGCTTACAAAATTTGGGATAATTCGCATTCCGGAAAAATGGCGCCTATTTTCTTCTAGGAATGCAGTCTGGTTATACAAAATATTGATGTTTTCACAAAAAATTGCTGTTTTTGTGTCACTGGGCTAGTAGGGGAAGGAAAGATCATTGTTTATTCAGTGACGTTTCAGGCATGAAGTTTATGAAAGCAAGGGACAAAGATTGCCAGCGTTTTTAGTTTTCACTATTCAAATTTTCTTTGATTTGTTCTGCAAGCATTAAAGAAGGAATTTTCATTGGGCCTCGCGCCCATGACCTGATGAAAAATATTACCTTTGAACTATTGCTGACGGATACTGAGGAGGCACCTACGCTTGCATTGAAAGATATATGTATCAATTTCTTTGGAAGCGTAATGTCTGAGAATTACAAGTGTTATATCCCAACGTACAGACGGTGCGTAGTACACCATGTACCTCAGAACAAGAGAGAGCTTACGCCTTCAATTAAAATAAATGACACGGCGTCCTCCCGATAATGTTGTATTTTGGGATTGGAGGAAGAGGCGCCTTCTGTGACCCCAATAAACTACCGGATAGGGCTTGGAATATTCCGTCGCTACTGAAGCCTGCCCCTTTGCCCTACACATAATTCTAAGGGTCACTTCCACTTTTCACCCGCCGTAATATCTCGAGTTCCCTCTCCTGAGGCGCTCACCCCCTTCCCTGATAAGGGCCACCCGGAGCGCGCTTGCTCCAACTGGCAATGCCCCTCTCCAACCTGTATCTGGAAACAGAAGTGGCGGTGAAGCGTATATAGTTGTAAGAAAACATTGTATGCGGTTCACTGCCGTTTTGACTTTACATTAGAAATTTGTATTACTCAGTATATTACGCTTCTGTAATAAACTTAATGTGTTGTTACTCTCTGAGTTTCATTTCACCGAGTCTGGAGAATCTGTCGACTAGCAATCGACATTATTTAACTCAAGGAACTAACGGGTCACGTGCTCTACTGTTACAAGGCTTTGGGGTGCAATATGTCTCTAAAATTATATTTCCTTCATTACCTTTTGGATTTCTTCCCACCTAATATTGTAGATCTGAGTGATGAACGTGGTGTGCGATTTCATCAAGATATCAATGCCATGGAAAGTCGATGAGAAAGTCGAAGAGATGGTCACCAAATCTTTACCTATTAGAAATTTCACTATCCATCACTTTCCAGGAAAAAGATCCAACTTGTAATTTTTAATCAGTGTTCTCGTACCGTTTTCATTTTGTTTTATAATATAAACGATTTGTAATACAACAAATTTCTTACAAACAATTTTTGTAACATGATCCGTATATTTATCAACTACAGATTTCTCCTGTATTGATATTGAGATGTTTCAAAGTTTCTCGTAAGTATATGTGGAGTAGCTTTTCCTGAAAAAACTGGACCATTTTTTTATTTTATTTTCACAATCAGCGTAGTGATTTTATAAAGAACACATATTTTCATCTCGCGGCAAATTACGAAGTTCAAATTAGTTGCACAGTGTAATTGAAATATTTGCCACTCTTAACTTGTTATAAACTTGAGTGTTCAGGTTCTGTTATAAACTTGAGTATTCATCTCATATTAATGAAGAGATGGTTTTGAGGAATTAAAAATATGCGAGTATAAGGAAGAAGAAGTAATCTTTGTCATTAAATTTTTTTAAGTGAACTTTCAACCGCTTTTCCGTCATAATTAGTCTCCATGTACAAAATGAACATAAAATATTAAAACATAATAAAAATAACATAATACAAAAATTGAAATTAAAATTTGTGCTACATTTTTAAACTATATCACATTAAATGTCAAAAAGCAAAACGGATAAGTCGCAGGCATAGCTATACGTAGCGAAGGTCTGGAGGTAGTGCGCAGAGGGAAGTTTGAAACGGAGCTTATGTTTCTGGGTCTGCGGGTGAAAGGTCGGAGGGGGTCTGGACAGTGTTTCTTGGAGATGTCACAGGAGTTGGGGGAGTCAGATGGTGAGGGAGGGATGTGTAAAATGGTTTCCAGAGGGGACACAGGAAACTTGTTTATTCAGAATAATTTCAGATTTCTATGTAGATCGAAAACTGCCAAATTGTTTTTTCTAAAGCACTCTTTTCAGAATGCATGTTCTATTTCAAGAATTTTAATCTCTGCATCGGGATGGAAATTGTGGGTTGTGTTTTAGTTCTATAGCAAAGTGCGATCTGTCTGTATTGTTTCCATGCATGTAAACGTTCTTAAGTTCTGGCATTGCAGCTTCTGTCTGTCTGGCCTGTATTTAGCTTCGCAATTCAATCTACAGATAGGCACTAAATAGGTAATCTTTAGACTGACGATGAGGGTAAAGCTACACGGCTCTATTAATAAATTTACGTTCACAAAGATGACTTCCATGATTTCATCCTTGAATAATGTCAAAAACACATCGTCATTCCCTCCAAAATACACAAGTTAGAGTTGATAATTGTTCAGTCTCCCCCTTTTAATCTCCATTCGGAAAATCTTGGGTGACCGGTGACTCACCCAAGGAAAGCGCATCGCAACTAAAAGAGGAAGTGAGAAGTCGGGGTAAATATGCCAAACGCTCAAAATGTATCCCGATGTAGCCGCAATCACTAGAAGGCTAGCTTACTATGTAAAAGTTATGTCACTTGTAATGCCTTTCGCTGCAGGTGTCGTGCTACTAGCAGCGATTGCAGGCAATTACAAATGCTTTCAGTACAGGATGCAAAAAAAGTTGTGTTCGCAGGGAAGCTAAGTTCCCTGGAGGAGCGTGGTGGTGAGCGAGGTTTCAAGTACAGAGACGCAAGTCCGAAGAAGTATGAAATGTTTAATTGAGAAGTAGAATTGCAGAGCAGCGTGAAGTTGAAACAGAAAGTCTCTGCTGTTGTCCGATATCAACGGCTAAAGAAGGATCCTTGTATGGGAAACAGGGAGATATACGAGGCATTTAAACGCCACCCCCGCCAGAACTGGGGCATGCCCTGGACGCAATTAAACTGTCATACATTGTCGAGAATTTTTGCTTTTGAAAGCTATAAGTTCCAAAACAATTCTGTTTCACGTCTGGATGGTGTTAGCGTTTTGAGGCGGTTGGGGAGCCCCATCACCCATGACCTTAAGCAGGGCGCCTGCTCCAGACGCGACCCTAATTTAGATGTTTGAAGGGTAATATTTCTCTCACGTACAGTTTGAAAGAAATATCCATTGCTCTTCTTAAGCAATGCGTACTTCATATGTACGGAGGTGCATTTAACATTACACAGTGTCACAGAATGTTTCAGGTAGAATCACGAAAGAAAAAAAGTTTTTTTGAGATATGTAAATGATTTTATTGAGTAATATTTAGATTAACAATCTTTTATTTTGCAGGACAATGCGGACACAATTCCTATGGAGTTTATTAAGGTGGAGCACATTTACGATGTAAGTATTAAAAAGTATAGTTTTATAATTATGATCTGGATTAAATCTCTCCTTCGTGTGTTTACTGAAAACAAACTAATCGTGGTAATCGCATGTATTTGTTCATGCAAACATACTTATTTCTGTTCTACTACAAAAGAATAACTTCCATTACATAAGTCTTCAATGTGCATTAAATGTGTTAAAAACGCATCGATGTTAGAAAAACGCGCCGCTGGTACGAAAACGTGCCGATGCCCTAGGGGATGAAAGTGCGCTCTCTTGGCCAAAGGTCATAACTCGGTAATTTGAAGAGCAAATAGCCTGAAATTTCGCACACATATAGACATAAAGGAGGTAATAAATTAATCATATTACATGTTGCAAAATTTCAAAATGACAGCTCACCTATACGTACTGTCTAGAGGTGGGAAGAGATAGAAATAAACAATTAGCATGAAAACTTTTCTTCTGAAGTTATTCATATGTGTTTTCATTTAACAAGATTTCACATTGTTATGAAATAAATAGACATTCGTATTACTAATATTAAGTAATGTTCACTGGAAAGTATCTATTTCATAGCATCCTCATCAGATACTTCAACAAGATCAGATATTTCCTCAATTGCTGTATGTGAATTTGATTCTGATGCAGGGCAAATGAGCATTTTGATTACTTAAAGCGTAAGTTCCTGTTTCTTATCATTTTGAACTTATTCTGAAAGTCGACAGTCGAAATGATGGGATGGGATGGGATCGGATCTGATCTGATCTGATCGTATATTTTCAATGCTCTGGTTCTGGTGGTGGAATTAGGGAGAACCAGTTACGCGACGATACTTGGATTAGACTTTCCAATGAAGTACGACCGGGAGAAATAACTCAGGGCATCAGATGATGCTACTGCAGTCCCTCTGACCGGGTGGTCTTAGGTTCGAGTGCACACGGTGGCAGATTGTCGATACTAGCTTGTCAGTTACGACGAGTCTAGTCGCTGTGTGGTGGAGACTTCTAGCAGCCGGCTACACTGATCGGTATTATTTCGTGGTTATCCCGACCAAATGCTGGAATAGTACTCTAACCAACGGACTGCGTGCGATTTTTCCTACCTCTTCTTTGTCCTATCCTCGCCTTTACACACACACACTTACACTAACATGCACTACACTACCTCACATGCTGGGAGACCAGTCGGGATCCCAGAGCTTGTCGCGACTGGGTAATGATTCGTTGGTGGAAGATACCTGGTTGGGGAAACCCCCATTAGCAGACGATAGGATGGCGCCGGATCTCGCAATCAAGGGGGGGGGAAGAGCACTGCCACCTCCCAAAGAAGAACATGCACTTCACTTGCGGGACTAATGACCATAGTAATTGACGCGCACGAAATCGCGAGCAAACAATCCGATGAAGTACGCGATGAAGTGCAGGAGATGAGTTTGGTATTGACAGTTCGGCGACGTCTCTTACGTTTCCTTGGCGACGGCATTCACTGGGCGTTACGGGTGTCGTGTAGTTACGTCAGCATTCGCCGACCCGTGTTGCCGATGAATTGTATAGTTGGGAGCTGACTCGATTGCGAGGCTGAGGAATGCGCACGATGTTCTTGGAAGCTGCCCTCCCCCGCCTAATCTGCAAGTACTAGCTGTCCCAAATATATTACTCAAAGTGTCAACGTTAAAAAATCGTAGGACAATAAGTAAAACAAATAAGCCAATAAGTAGAGCTAACAAAATTAACATCAATATGCGGAAAGATGACATTATTAAAATTTACAAAAACAAGTAACAATCTTGCTTTCTTACCTCAGTCAAGTGGATGATTGTCAAAATTTCGGGAACATTCTCGCTACTACAGCATTTTCAAAATGTAAGCTTATTGTCAACTCGTGTCTCATCAATATAAATTATGTGTTTCTCATCATTTCTACAATTTTGAATTCCTCTCGAATACCTTGCTCGCCAGTTGAGAATATCAGACCGTTCAAACAAAACTTGTCTATGGTTGCGACGTGTTTTGCGCTTCAAACCCATGGCATGGAGCGTGCGCACACCCCAAAGGAAATTAATTTTTTCTTGGATTCCCTTCAGCTGTTTTCGTGCAGTTGGTACTTGTTTTCTAACAGTATAATAGTAGTTTATGCAATTAGTTTATAATGTTAAGCTTTATTGCATGAGTATGTTTTGAAAAGGAGCGACTTTAAGAGCGAGTTTTCAAATTTGTACGAATGTAATAAAGCAACATTATAAACGAGTTGCATACTATATTTTTTTTGTATAACGGCATTATACATTTATAAGAGAATCAAAACTTAATTTTGCAAAACACTCTGCGACGACTTCTCTGTGACGACTCTGGTGTTTGACGTCGTGCGAGTAAACGGTGGTCGCCTGTTCAGTTTAGCTCTACCTCCCCACGATTCTCTCGCTACGATTGGCTAAATGTGTGATGACACAATCATTCGTGACAAAATCTAATACGTCATCATTTGTGCCGTAAACTGCCCGATTATGAACGATTTCTTGCTAAAGGAAAGGGTCTTTTATAATGCTGGAATACAAAAAAATCATTAATCAAATCACGAATCATTCTTATCAAAGTCACCAAAGTGGTATTTTTTCTTCACAAAATGACATTTTCTTACTGGGAGTACTCAAAGCTGCCCCGCCGGCTTCAAATTCTTTTAATAATTGATATCACAGTTCGAGCAGATATTCTAGTATAATTTGCTACCCGAAAATTGCTGTTGTGCAGCGTGTGTTGAACGTCCGAATTATTTCCTTCGTCACGTTTCTTAATGAGACATAGAATTTCCCTTGCTTCACAGTGTATTGTTTGGCCTTTACTACGAACAGACGCCACACCATTTCACCAAAAGTAATACGCAAAATTAAAATTAATACGCTTTTCACTTGTGTTACAAACAAGAAGCTAGCTCTCACAACAGAAAACGCGTTGTGAACTGTGTACAGAGCCTGGCCTGTGATTCATAAAGCGAGCGTGTCGAATCCTGGCCGATGTCAGCAATACGAATAGTTGCTCCGTTGTCATAGAAATGGTGACGTACGCACTAGATAAGGCGGCAGACACCCCGCTCCCAGCGCGTAAACAAAGTCAGCTCTCGACTATATACGGCGTGCACGGCCGATGCACCATTCGCTTACAAGCGTGGGCGCCGCGTCCAGTCTCTGGCCCGTATGAACCAATAACCCTGATTGTAAACGAAGAATAGGCTTTCCTTTGAAGCATTTCTTTTCAGACAGAAAACTCATTCAACCATACAGCTTTGCGAGAGCTCAGTTCATACTCATCACATAGAAACGCTCATAAGAATCGGTCATGGACACTGTTTTTGAAAGGTGTATCCCGAGTTGTAAAAGAGCCGAAATATTTTCGTTCAAGTAAATTCTTGCACTCACTCTTCTATGGTTCAAGTTCAGAGTTTACCTCCAAGTGATTGTCTCGACAAAAAATGGTTGAACATGCAGAAAGAAGAAGCTATAAATAAAAACAATGAATTAAATTAAAGAAGTTGCTATAAATGAGGGTACAATGGGACACAATATTGAAGATTTTATAGTTTCACTTCAGGATTGCAGTGATAATGACAGTGTCAATGAAGATAGTTTTGTTGAATACAGTGATTGTGGGGTCTTTTCAATGTGTAGTTGAATTGTTCGTACCTAATAACCTAAAAAAACAAGGAGAATTTACATTGAAAACATCAACTGTACCCCTATTTTCTACCATAACGTGGTGTTTTTTTTATTCTAGGGATCGTTTTCTCCTGTATATTGAACTGTATATAGACACATTGCAATGTGTAAATTACAGATATGCATATTTACAATGAATGAGGTCGCAGTGTCGCGTCGTTGTGGAAATGCAGTGAAAAGCTGTAGCGAATGCATGGGCAACGCGCGCCATGCGCTCGGTACCTGTCAATCCCAAAGTTTCTCCTCCTGCAGTAGTACTTCATTATGGAACAAGTCTATGCAGCTTTGCGAAGGCGTGTGGTCTTTCGCTCGTCGAGCGGAACCAAACAAAGCTATGAAACAGCCGTGCGGTGATTTAATTTCTTTTGCAGATGTCGAGCGAACATAAAAACATAGGAAAGACGGTAAACGAAGTCGCGGAATCTCGGAACACAGAGTATTGTAGTGACGTGTCGCGTTACAAACTGAGACGACCATGTGGCACTTGGCGGACATCGCCGGATGTTGAACAAAGGGCGGAGTGATGACGCACTGGGAATTTCCGTGGGCGTAGTCTGGCCAGGGCGGCGGTGGAGATGAGGCAATGGGGGCGGCGGGTAGCGGCAAAAGGGCCTTATAGGGCCAGGAGAACAATGCTCCAGTCTTCTTGTTCTAGCGGCGTCGGCGACAGGTGAAGCGCGTGTATGTGCGTGTAGGTGCACTAGGGCGAGGGCAATTCATTGTCGTGACTTGCGAGACGCGTAGATGGTCTCAAAGTAGCGCGGCTTCATACAGGGAACATCGGTTGTATGTTGCGGTGTGGTAGCCGTTCTTAAATTATCTCTCCCTGTGGGTCTATTTATTTAGCTTATTGTAAGCAGGATAGTTGTTTAATTGAGACTACGATCTAGATTGTGAATGAATCTACTGTTTTACAAACCACTCTCGTCTGTGTTCCTATTACACACGTATGACGTCGTAGTATTCAGAACTGCTGTGGCTTCTGAGAGAGACCGATGCGAGCTGATCGTCAGTGAGAGAAATGCGGGCGGGACAGCGGAGATACGACAGTGGCTCTCCTCTCAGTCGTAGATTGTGGGTGTCGGTGTAATGCCACAGGTGCATTACCAATGGCTCGATGCAGCTCGTAGAAAGGAAACTTCAAGTTTGAAGATGTTGTTTCACAATGCAGATGTATTTATAATACAAGTTTACAAAGATTCCAAACGATGTGGCCGAAATGAGGGCAGGTTTAATATCGAGAGTTGGTAAAGTTACGGGGACGAATGCTATATGTTGACATTACAATGTCATCGGAATTAACTATTCCATAGTCTGTACCGGGAATCAAAGATGAAATCTTTGAAGGATATGACGAATCCAGTGTTTTGCCTACTGTAACTTCTGGCAGAAAAGGAGGGGTTGCGTTTCCGGTATCTGATACAGCGACATTACAATCCAGTTGCTC